AGTCAGCTCCTGGGACTGCCGTCAGGACGCACAAAAGCCTTCCGAGTGGCGAAGGGCTGGAGGCGCTGGGCACAATGGTCCCACCTCTGTGCGCCGGGCGCGATTCCCTCCCCTCTCCTAATCCCCTCTCTCCCTGCCACCGCGCACTGCGCTCCGAGCTATTCCAGAAATGCCGCGGGCCGTGCCGTGGCCAAATATGGGAAGAGCGCCGGTAAAAACCGGTGCTGAGCGTCTGGGCTGTCGCATGGCCCCCTGCTGGGCAGACTGAAGAGCTCCTCCTGTCCCCCTCGCTCCCACACTCTACCTTTGCGTTTACCCCCAGCCCTTCTCCCTCCAGGATTCTGCCTCTGTGTTTGCCCCTGACCCCCACCCCTCCCAGACTATACCTCTGTGTTTACCCCCAGCCCCCTACCTCGAAGACTCTGCCTCTGTTATTACCCTGGTCCTCCTTCCTCCAGGGACTCTGCCTCTGTGTTTACCCCCAGCCCCCTACCTCCCGGATTGTGCCTCTGAGTTTACCCCTGACCCCCCTCCCTCCCAGACGCTCCCTCTGCATTTATCCCGGTCCGCTGCAACCCTCCTCACAGCCTCGCAGCGGTCTGCATCTAAAGTTTCCAAGAACGGCTCCGAAAAACTTGTTCAGAAATTTTTTCCGACTACTCTTCCAGCTAAACTCTATCCTCCCTCCAAGCTCGTCCAATTGAAAGTCAACATTTGATTTTCCATTTGCTTCTATGATGATTTTGATCAATTAACATGATGTTTTCAATTAATTTTATTCCACGCAATTTCTCTGATGACTCTGATGAAGTCAATCGATTGGTGCTTTCTCAGAACATCCCAGCATCACCAGACCATGCTGGGGGGGGTTCATGGTGCTGAGAGCCTGCTATTCATATGACAGTCCACACAGACAGTCCAAGATGTAACCTTGGCAGCAGCAGCTGTCGAGCTCTGGGGATCTATAGGAGGAGCTGAGATAAGAGATGGAGCAGAAGCACCTGTGAAATGAAGACGTACGCAGCACACACAGCCAGCAGGGCAGGGCTACAGACCACCGAATGTCTACTCACTTCATCTCATATAGACCGTGAGGCTCATCATCACACCTACAAATCAGAACTGAGCGACCCTCCAGTACTAACTCATTTTTATAAAGTGCGTTTGTTGCACAGCCAGTTAGGACGATGTGCCTGTAATCAGAAGGTTGTTGGTACAATTCCCTGGGTGAGTGGACTGATTTCACCACTCGAGTCCTGAGCAACACCCTCATCATTCCCCAGTTGCTCCAGGGACTGACTGATGCTGNGTTACAGAGATTTCACTGTTGGACACTTCAGCAAGGCCCTTAACCCCTTAACCCCAGTCTCTCCAGGAACTAGCATGCTTTGGGTAAAAGTGTCTGCCAAAAAAATAAAAGTTAATTCCAATCATTGCATTTTAACAGTATTCCTTCAAAACTGCCTAAAGTAAATTTCTTTCTTTGGCAGTGCCGATCCTTTATCTTTCCCAATGGACCCCCAGGACTTCTGAACACTTAAAGAATTGCAGTCACAGTTACTATAAAATCATCCTGCTTCATGCATTACAAAATTAAAATAAAAACAGCCAATTCCGGCGGCTGAATCTCACAACAGCGTTAGGATTCTGCAAAATCGACACACTGGCTACAGGTCGCTTTGGACGTCCAGACTTGGGAGACAGACCCCCAAGAGCCCCCCTCCCAAACCCCTGGCCTGATCACGGGGCACTGAAGATGGGGGGGATTCGCTTACACCCCCGGGTTGCCACTGCAGAGACTGACGCCCAGCTATTTTAGAGGCAGCTATTTAGGTCCTGACTGACAGGCAGACGAGTCACTTTATGGCCCAGTACGCTCCGTAAAGGGGGGCAGAGGATAGGAAATGTCCCAAATGTCCTCACCTGTCATCGTCCCCCCCTGATCAACAGGCACAGCAGCTACATGACACTATTCTCTTTTCATGCCGGACAAGTTTGCAGTAGAAACCTACATGAAGAGGCCAGACTACAAACAGCTAAAGATGGGCAGTGTAAGAAAAGCCATTTTTAAAAATGTCAAACAGGTCGCGATACAGCACTGTCAACAAATGGCACTGAGAAGGCCAGGGACAGGCGACAAAAGTGACATGACCCTCGATTGCCATTAGCTGTCCGGCAAGGTCTGCTGACAGCATGACACCAATCGCCTGGGCAAAAGGTGGCCACGGAGGATGACCAGGAATTCGGACACGGAAACTTGCCCAGAATGTCTGAGGCAGGAGCCCCAGAATCCCACAAAGTCACATGGGAGGGAGAGGAGGAGAAGGAACAGCAATGCCGCGACAGCGCGGCCCCTGACCTGCGGGGGACGGCCCGCGGAGGAGCATGTCACGCTGCGTTTATGCTCCACGGCCCAGATGGTCCTCACCCCCGGGGCCTGGAAGCCATGACGTGTCGCAGTTGTTTACACTTTGCACTGCACACTGCCCCAAGACCTAAACACTGTCACAGTGACAGGTTGGAGTGCTCCGGTGCATGCGGGTGGAGATAAACATTTAACCCTCTGCCCCACGCATTAACTTCCTGCCGAAGGGACAAAAGCGGGTGGGATATCTTTAGATGACCTCACTGCAGTTAGTCTGAGTAGAGCGTCGATCTCACATGCTGTCTCGTGGGATAGCATGATGGGATATTTGAAAACCAAAGAATTCCTATGTGCTTATACAAAGGGCAAATAAAGAAGCACCATCATATATGCTGTTAAGGGGCATTTAGCCTTCAGCAAGACTATGTCAAAAGAAACAAAACTCCTCACAAGGTTACACTAGTCCAGAATCAGAAAGATCCATAATAATAATAATAGATACTTCATTGATCTCCAAGGGGAAATTGCCTTCACGCCTCCCTCAACTTGCTCTTTGTAGAGTAAGCCACCTATGAAGGGCAGCCACCCACAGCGGCACCCAGGCAGCTGGGGGTTAAGGGCCTCGCTCAAGGACCCACAGACATGCTGAGGCTGGTGACCTTGTGATTACAGGCACACAGGTTTAGCCCACTGCGCCACACACTGCCAAACTGGCACATTGTGTTATGAATACAAGGAATTTGTCCTGGTGGGTGTGCCCTGTAACACACAAGGCAATTTCAAGACAATTTACAAATTAATACACACGAAACTTTACAAATACTTTTAACACTAGACCGGGGTAGGGAACCTGATCCATGGAGAGCCAAATCAGCCAATAACAGTGGCTCCCCAGGACGGGAGTCGAAATCCGGCGCTTTATTAATGGCTGATTGAGAGGTCATCCCAAATACCCGCATCCGCAGCGACTCTCTGCGGATCAGGTTCCCCACCCCTGCCCTACATTCGACCTACAGTCATAAGCAGCATGGGAAGGAATAAAGGGTGAAAAAAGAAAAGACACAGACAGACAGACAGACAGACAGACAGACAGACAGATAGATAGATAGATAGATAGATAGATCATCATTAAACTGCCATAAAACTGCATATATGACCCATCCTGCACTGAGAATATTATGAGGTTGGACAATGCTACCTCTGCCATAAGTTCTCCACGTACCCCCATCTTTAAACTGCAGGCCTGGGTCTACCTTGTCCATGTTAAATGCAACAAGTCATAATTACAATGCAAATAATCACCCAATATAAAAATAACTGTGGTGCAGACTAACAGCTAGCGATTTACAGGTATGTCACCCGGCGTATGATCTTAACGTTGAGGAATGAGTCTGAGGTAATGCTTCTGGAAACTGTTTCTGGCCTGGGCAGTGTCTGACCTTCCTGACGCAAGGGGTTAAAGAAAAAAAATAACACGGCTCGTGTGAAAACAACGCTCACTCCACCGTGTCTCAGATGAAATCACCCGTTCACACGCAGACTGACATTAGTCAGACAGAGACAGCTGCCCCTTATCGACACGGATACAACCGGTGTAGCCAGATAACACTAACCCCGGCTGGTTTTCTGACAGTACCGTGAGACGGGCATATTTCTCACGTCTTCTGCTCAGACACTTAGCATAATTTGGTCGCAACAGAGCAGAGATGGGACCCCTCACCCTACTTCTCATGAGTGTGTCTGGTTCTGTGGGTTAAGACTCCGCACCAATGGTTGGAAGGTAGCCGGGTCAAATCCTATGGTCATACAGAGGTTTCACCATTGGGCCCTTGAGCAAGGCCCTTAACACCAATTGCTCCAGGGACTGGCTTACACTGCTTTCTTAATTCTATGTTTTCAAGATCATTTATTTGTCACATACATGTTATGCAATGAAATGTATTACCTATTTCCAGTGAAATGTATGTTGCTTTGGATAAAAACCATCTGCTAAGTAGATAAATGCATTACATAAACGTTCTGGTGTTCCTCCATTCACATCCACATGCATAAGGTGCTTGAGTATACATGTAGCAGGCATGTGGCTGTTCTCAGAGTTCCCTGTGAAGAAGGGGACACCTGACAGCAGACTCATTCATTCTGAAAAATATATTGGTTAACCTACTGTTGGCCAAGCCATCCAAGGCATTGATCACTTCACCACTGAGAAACTGCCATCGCTACTGTTTATCAAATTATCTCCCACAGAACCAGCCTCACTGCCAGTCACCAGCCTGACAGATGAACTCATTTCTCCATGTCTGAAGCCAACTATAGGCACAATCATTTCAAAGGAAGCAGCATCCAGCCCATTAACAGGGTTGCCAACTTTGGTCAGCTGGCTGGAGAGATTTTCAATTCAAGGCAAGTCTGTACTCACACGCATTTACATGGATGTAAGAGTTTCATTACCTTGTAAATAGTCTACAGTTTTTGCAAACTACCCCAACAGTTCTGATGTAGCTAATTTTAGGTTTATAATGGAATAATATAGATTTTCCGTAAGATTTTTTGCGTGAGAGTCCGAAAGTGTTAGTGTCATGCCAGACATGTGACAGTTGGCAGCCCTGCGTTAACCCATTGTGATGTTACTCACCCTCTGTGTTGTCCTCAGGGCGCTGGATGAAATTCTCATATGAATCCCAGCGGATGAGCGGGTCTTGGGTATTGTAGTCCACGGAAACGCTGGGTCCATTCTCCAGGTGGTCCATCCCTGCGGGGTAAACAAAAGGGTTCTCAGGGGTGGCTGGGCCTCATTCCCATCATTACATAGGTACACACTGCCAGCTCGTACCTTGGATTTTCTCCGGCCCGAAGGAGAAAACAAACTCCACCTTCCCGTACTCTGGGAATCGCTCATCTGGTCCAGGAAAAAAGGAGAGATCAAAAACAGAGAAATAGCAAGGCTAAAATGCAGCTTTCAAACATTAGCCCACGGCTGGATCTAACTCCGACATGTGTGGCTCTGTTCCAGGATAAATTACAGCTCCATATAGATTATGCATTTAATTCCCCAAGGTATTTGCAGAGTACAAAATGTTGGACAGGGTTCCAGAACAAAACGGCCAGTTATTTTGAGCATTAAACATCTTTGAAAAAGTCCCGGTCTCATTTAGCGGTCCGTGTCGACGCTAATGCTAATGGCATTGTCCCAGCCTCACCTCTGAAGGTCTCGTCCAGCTCGTCCTTGCCGAAGATGATGCCCAGGTCGTGCACGGCGCAGGTGTGGAACTGCACCCGGAAGATGACATCCCTGGTGGGGCTGCGGAAGCGCTTGTGGTAGCATTTGAGCTGTGGAGAAGAACAGGATGCCGGGGAGGGAAGCATTAGCCGGAAGCTATGAGTGCTTATCCAAAGCAGGTCAAGGAGAAATCTCCCTACATCTCTCTGTCGCCTGGCCACTGTGTGGCAGAGCATCCTCTAGCGTGCCAGCCTGCTGTTCTGGTGTTTGGACCCTCTTACTTATGTCCAGATGCCCTCTAAAGAAAGCAGCAGAGCCACACAGACTTGTAAATACATATCCTCACCTTCCACGGGCAATATGTCACCCAGCCAGCCTGTTTTCGCACACGCTATGGCCTTATGCAGACAGAGAGAAGGCCTGGGCAGGAAATCCTCCCCTAACCAGCAGTGTTGGACATTTTAGGTCCAGGTAGAAACAAAGTCTTGGTCTGGATTTGCAGTGCCTGGACCTAAAATGCCCAACACTGTCAACCAGTACATTTTCAGGTAACCCTAGAGCATATCCCATATAGCAGAGGGGGCAGTCTGGACAGGATACCAGTTGCTAAGGACTAGTTACCTGGTTAATGTGCATTCACACTGTACATTCACACTGTACATTCAAACTGTAGTCAAGCTACTTCAGGGTGGAAAATCGCAGCTCTATAAGGCTATACAATAGAGAGGAGAAGCTTCATTTTATGGATCGCTGTTCTTCGTGCCAATCCAGTTACCCCTTGCTGCATTTTATCCAGTGTAACTCACAAGATGCACCCTGTAGGGCAACTTGTACCCCCCTCCCCAATGTAATGAATTAAAGAAAAACATTCCGTGGTCCTTTGCCAATGAAGAAAACCCAAACCCTCCACTGGCTGGACTAAAAAAACTATAATTACAAAATTCAGTGGGAGGGCAGATGGATGCAGGGAATGTACAGGTTTTCTATTCATGGAGACGGAAGCAAAACAAACAAACTAAAATTGAGGAAGAGAGGGAAAAAGCCAAACATCCTGTGGTTTCTTTTGGCTAGAATGTGACAGTGGACAGCTCCCTCAAGGAGGGGGCACGTTGGATTTTTGGGGGTGGGGGCAAGGAAGCGCAGTCAATAAGCCAATTTTCAGAAAACAAAACAAATCATATAACAGTAAAAGAGCCATTTGGGCTGCCCAGCATACTGATGAAGTATGATATAGGTTAAACCTACAGATGTGCAGTCTAGGAGAAGCCAACAAAAGTCTATTTAAAATTCTAATTTTACTGCCCTCTGAAGAGCAGAAAATAACATCATAATATGAGACAGAGACAATAAAAGTTGATTAAACGGTGCAATTTATGCAGCCCAGTATGGAATCACAAAAAAAGCATGCAATGCGGGTTAATGCGTATTTTCATTTGTTGATATTATAGCTATAATCTTAGTCATTTAAACTTGATTTATTGTCATGCATGACTAGTCCATATTGTTTGCTTTTAAAGCATTCCGCGAAAACCAATACGCTCAGAGTAAATAACAGACTAGCTTTGGCTTTGCAGAAAGTATAATACAACTCCAGTCCTCGAGTTATATCACAGTGAAAACATTAATAATGATGCGCATATCTTCATAATTAATGACATCATCTCAAGACATGGCCAATCAGCTTCTTGGTGTTACTGACCACCTCTTCTATAAAAAACCTAATAGGTCTTACGTAAGTTTTGCAGGCGACCGGAGGGGAAGCCTCCTAATCCCTGTCCAGTGGGGAATTCCTGAAAGCTGGACATCGTGTGCTAATGATAGCTTCAGTGAGGCGTGCCCCTACCCCAAACGTTCGTTTTAATATGTCCCATTTGACAGATGTGCTGCCGGATGACCTGTTGTGAAACCAGAGGACAAACACACGTGTCTGCCGGCAGTAAAACCGTGCTCATGCCGGACACTAGAGCCACGGCACTCCTGAAGAATTCTCATAAAACGTCTCCTCTGGCCCACTTGGATCTGGCCATCGCTGGATCTGGGCTCCAGGGTGGAAGAGTCCGGGCCTTGACGACCGGTATTCGAGGAAACTCGTGTTCGCGATGTTATATGAATAAAGAATTTTCTTGGGTAACTCAACATTCTGGTCATAGGTCAACTTTTATAGAAAGTTCCTTCCAGTCTAGGCCAAAGCCTATGTCGCATTCTAGGTAAGACTCACTCCATGACCCCTGAATATTCTTAATGTTTCAGCTGATTTGAATAGTTGTCTTATTAGATTCTTGATTTGTTTGGAAGATGTTCTGTAGCTTTTGCTTCTGTGCTACACCTGTACCTGGGCATTCACTGGAAGCTCAGCCTAGCTGCACTCATGCCTAGTCAAATGTCGGTCTAAATCTCAATGAGCAAAGTCAGAAATGAAAGCAGTAAGGGTGCCTGTGGTCTTACCAGAATATCGCCCTTGAGCAGCAGGCCTGGCTCGATGGTGATGCAGATGCTGGTGTGACTGTCCCCTTGGACGTTGCTGTAGGATTAACACCGAAGGTGGGTATTAGGAATGCTGCATGCTCCCCTTCGGGCTCTAATCAGTAAATAAATCTGTGGAACATGCTGAGGGCTTCTTTTTCGATTCAATGCAATTCAATTAACTTTTATATATCACCCTTCACAACAGGCTTGCCCCAAAGCACTTGACAAGGGTGTGTGGCAATCCATTACTGTTTTGTTTTTACAAAATGGTGCATGAAACAGGGAAAAGGGAAGTGAGAAAGAAAGAAAGAAAGAAGACAACAGAGGAAAAGAACGAAAAACTCCCAAATAGGGAGATAAAAACCTCTGGGGGTCCAACCCCCCTGGGCATGATGTAATTATAGAAAACGGAGGAAATGAGTCTGCTTTAATAAAAGCAAGGTGTCAGCTGTGGTTTCCTTTGTAATGCTCTGAGCATTATTCCACAAAGCCAACGACTGCCATTCATGGCTAGCATAGCTAAGAGAACAAATGCCAGACTAGCTGCTCTTACCAAAGGTGTTTATCTCAACCCGTCTGTGATCAGAAAAGGTGTTGCTTGTGCAACATCAGAGGAATGAGGGAGCATTTGGCAAATGAGTATCCGGCCCCCAGTGCCAGCCGTCACTTATGTCGGCTGGAAGCAGAGCTGATTAGCAGGTATGAAACTCCAATGCTTGTGAAAGACCTGTCTATGACAGCACAGCTGAGCGCATTCCCGTGGGAGAGCAGATAATCGGCGGCTAATCTCTTAATGAGGCACAGAGGCAGGAACGCCGTGACGGGCCGGCCAGGTGGGGCCGCAAGCTCGGCGGCGAGCCCCAGTCCAGCTAAGCCCACTCATTGTGGCCATTTAGCACGGCAGCATTAGCAGTGAAACAGCGGAGGAGGATGACGAGGGTGTGCCTCTCTCTGGACGAGAAGACCGCACTTGTCGAAGGTAAGATGTTATTTCAGACAATAAAACCAGGATCCCGATTCCATCTGCGGCCATTAAGCCAGTAATGTTGTAACAGCCCTCGTGGGAACTGGGAAACCCAAAACGGTGCCATCCTTTTTTCACCACACTTTCCATGCACAGGGAAACCTCTCCTTCTCCTGCACATCAATCTCCAGGAAAAAAAAAAAAGCTCCATATCCAAGACCTTTCCAGAAATACCCTGGGGAGCAGGGAAACTGGCGAGTTTGGAAGAACAACACATGTCTGCAGGTCACTCGGCTACCCTGTGATTTCTAACGTCAGTGCAAGTCTATGTAAGGAGGATGTAAAATACATCAAAACTAAATAAAGCACATATGAATGTGCATTAGTGTGCACTAAAAAAGAGGGTGAGACCACCTCATTCTAAATGCCCCTTGATGTGAGGTGAAGGTGTTGAGGGAAACCAGAAGCCATTATTTGACGCCTATAAGCATAGCGTGCAGGGAGCTGTGCCATCTAAGGGAAAATGAGGGAGAGTCAGAGGCGGGAGACGGGAGACGGGGTGGAGGTTCTCTTACTAGATCCCAGATGTGTAGACGGGCTGCATGGCCTGGTAGATCTTGAGGAAGGGACGGCAACCTGGAGGAGGTATGGGGAAAACAGGAGTAATGACGACGTCAACAATGACATGGAGGGAGAGGATGTACAGGTGGACTGATCATAATCAGGCACCTCTGGTAGGCCAGCAATGGTGCCCCTTTGTGATTCCCTTTGTGGTGCAAATGCAGACAAACCCCCCCCCCATCCACCACCCCCAAACCGACGTGGATCAACACCAGGCGCTGTTCGAAGGCAAGATTCAGTGCCAGCACTCCCCATCCCAGAAAACTTCACAGCCCAGAGGTAGGGGGTGGGGGGCACAGGGCACCAGCAAAGAAGCTTGCCGCAGGGAGGGTGTGGGGGCAGCTCTGGCAGTAAACTGTGCCAAGGGGTGGGGTAGGGCCATTAGCCATTTTCTATGTTGGCTGCCCCTCAGAAGATGACGCCCTAGTGGACTGACCTGCACTGGTCGACATCATGGCCACGCCCACCCAGCGTCAATCAAAGGAAGGAAGAGAAGAGATGTAACGCTCACCTCCTTGGGACTCAAAGTTAGGTATCCCATGCATGATGACATGGTGCAGGAACAGGGGCTTGTTGTTTATCTTGATGTGTCCGGACAGCAGGCCGCTGAAGTACTGTACGTATCTGGCAAAGGGGAAGACAACGGCGTTGCTTGGCAGCCATACAGTAAGCCCATTACCACTATGACATCACAAACCATGTGACATAAGGCCCCAAATACAGTGGGTTCATATTTTATATGCATTCAAATCTTAAAATCTTAAAATAACATCATACATCTTTTTTCTTTCTGATGAGCGAATTATGCTATTTTTATTTGATATTAATTCAATAAGAAAAATCGATGCTTAAATATGCACAGTTCGAAATGGTTTCATTTCCAGAACACGCCTCTTATGTAAACTGAGAGCCCTCTGTGTATCTGCACAGCTGCGGTCCAGCGGATGTCACGGGGTCACCTATCAGCACCTGTACGCTAGCTGTGTTAGCTTTGCCCTCCCTGCCAGGTGTTCGCAAGGTCACGCACCTCCACGACTGGCTGACTCCGAATGGAAAAACACCGCTGGATTTCCATCCAAGAGCAGCGACCCCCCGCTGTGCTGGGGGCAGGAGGGGTCTCAGCCCAACCACGACAACCCTACCGCTCCTCTGCCCTCGTCCCACCTCAAGCAGACCACAGTATGTCAGCAAGCTATCATCAGAGTCACGATACTATCTTATCTTTTTTCCTCAGCTGCATGGTCTCTTTAAATCTTTTGTAAAGGAGAATGGTGGGGTGGGGGGGAGATCACCAGGAGTGTTCTGGAACACTTATATAATCGTCAGAGAGATTACGGGAAGTCTGAAGGTGTTGCAGGGAGAACTTGTATTATTTCTCAAACAGAACAACAGAACAAGTTCCCTTTTTACTACGGCTCTGTGATCTCTGTCCAAGGAACGTGGAACGTAAGCACTGATTTAGCGCTGGACTAAGTCCAAGGCCTTAATGGTCAGTATCTCTGGGGTGTGAAACGACTGCTACGTATGGATCTGAGCCTGCTGCTGATTCCATGTCACCTCACTACCCAAAAGACCAGTCTGGACACCACATAAAGGATCAAACCAAACGTTTACATTATACGCATAAGCCTATACCTTTACCCATCTAGTTCTTATGCTCATTGCATATCTACATTTGCATTTAATTTTTTAGCAGATGCTTTTATCCAAAGCATGGTACAACTGAGTAATCAAGGTCAGACAGGTCCCAGAGCAATAAGGGGTTCAGAGCCTGTACCAGCCCTGGGATTTGAACTGGTGACCTTCCGATTACAGGCACAACGTCGTAACCCTGAATATTTATTGAAAACCTTTGCGACTTTCTATAAAGACTTTAGCTGCCCTGCGACTGCCTTTAGGCATGCAAGAATATGATAACGGGTCATTCTATACCAGTATAGCAGGGGCCATCAGCTTCTCCCTATGCTGATGTCACACATACCTCCCGTAATAACTACAGACTAGGGGGCACAAGCTTTTGGCTAATTATACCCTGGTCAGGAAATAGCGGAGCAGATGCCTAACGTCAAACATGGTTTTGTGAACCATCTAAAAGGCTCTGGCTTTGAGAAAAGGCAAGCCCATGCGTCTCGCTGGATCAGGCAGACAGATTAAGGTTTGTCTTTCCCTGCTCACTCTCAATTTTTGTAAATAATAAAAAAGGAGCAGGAAAAAAAGAGCATCAGAGAGCACAAAAGGGGGCCTTCAGCACGTCCGTCTTCATCATTGTTCATTAGATGTTCTAGGAAGCATTTTTCCTTTCAAAGAAGATTTTTTTTCCACCTAGATACCTGATACCACACTGTTGAGGACTTCACATCTTTCTGGACTGTTCCGTGTAGCGTTACAGAGGATGCTGTGTTCCAGTAACGGGATTAACTTTTAATTATAGTGCATAATGTGAAAAGGCATTAGAAGAAGAGGATCAGGATTAGATATCGAACCTTGGGACTACCATGGTTCGGAGATACTGTGGAGCCTTGTGAAAAAGGTTTTCATGGAAGTCATTCTACTCTGCTATATCAATTAGCTCTCGTTTGGAGATAAGAGGACAGAGTGAAAACGAGGCCCCCTTTAGTCTGGCAAAGAGGGAGAAATGAATCGCTGAAACGAGCCATTGATCTCAAGGTGAACCACTCTGACAGGGAATACAAGCCACTCAGTAATAGCCTGGTACAGGCTTCACTCATAAAGAAGACAGGAGACACCCAACAGACAAACAGGAAGTGGAATGAAACTGACCTCTTCTGAGATGGCTGTCCCACAGGAAGTACTTTGTCTTCATAAAACCTCTTCATGGCAAATCTATCCAAGGCCTGGTCTGCACTGCATCCACAGATAAACATGTTTTTCTTTTCTATTCTTTATAAACTCCTCATTTATTTTTTCCCCTAAATAAAATTATACATTCATAAAATTCTTTGCGTTCAACAAGTCAGCTAGAGAAAAATATTCGATCAATCATTTGTTTCAGGATTCCTTTTTTAAATTTAAATTCATAAGTGAGGTCATTTTCCTGAGGCCATCCCTTTAAGACTTCCGTTAAGGTTATTTGTCCATGGCCACCGCTTTAAGCCCTCACCTGGCTGATATATTGCTGTAGTGCATGTATGCAGCAACCACCACCCCTGTCCGCCCACGATTCCCCTAGAGAGAAAGAGAGAGGCAGAACAGAAACAGGGTGAGCATGGATTCTGGTCTTAGCATTTACATCAGACAGAAATTTATGCTGGTCACTGAGACAGATGCAAGCAGGGTAATTCACTCATTATCCAGTGATGAAGGAGGTTCTTTTTTTGACCCAAACAGTCTTGCACAGCTGATTCTGTCACCCATTCTGGGGCTGAGAAGTCCCTCACAAAATGGAACATAGGACACTATTTTACCACCAAGCACCACAGCTGGAAGCCCAACAACAGACAATGAATGGAAGCATGTTAAAATAGATAGAAATTCAAAAAAATCTAATAATGCTGCTTCCTCATCAGGTTAAATTTTGGCAAGAAGGAAAAAGAAACACTGGTCTCCATGACAACATTCTGTTTACCGCTCCTTGTTGGACATCATTAATTGTATGTTCTATTTATGCTGCATTATGCCTTACCCAGAGTAACAGCGTTTCAGTGGAATTATACAGTCATAGAAGAGCTGGCGTTTGTCATCAGTTAGATTTCTGTTCAAGGTCTTCATATGGACAAATGGTAACACTGTGGCTACTTTACACTGAGAAGCCGCTCCTACATAGAGGATGTGAGACAGCCGACAACGTTTGCTTTAAGTTTATCCACTGCCTTGTAAACCTTTAGGGATCCGCTACATCATCCCTAAGAGCTAAACCTCAGTGGATTGTCTCAGCTAACCTGAAAACAAACAAGCCTGGATAGCATACGGAATTTTGAGGCTCGATCCGAAACGTCAGTATGGGAAGGCAGATGGAAGAGCGCTTTAGGAACACCACAGATATGCGAAACATGTACTTAAAGTGGTAAAGCTTTTGTAAGCCTTCCCTCACAAGTTCCCCAAGTCCTAACCACCGTGTAGCGCTGAACACACCCAAGCCATCTTCAGTTCAAAACTGACTCACACTGGAAAGGGTGAGATGGCCATCTCTCCTTCTTAAAAGGAATCATATGGTGTTGACTAACCCTACGGCCTTTACTCATTCCCCTCCCAGACAGTGCTGAAATAAGACTGTGATGGTTCTAAAAGCGACACATTGACAATACAGCTGTTGAACGCCCCCTACTGTCGAGAAATGTTCAACATCACTGTCAACTCCCAGTGGCTTTCCCAGAAGACAGATCACATGACACATCCAGTAACTGAACAGATATAAACAAATGTAAACAGATATATTTATAACAGAGGAATCAGGATTTTCAGCTGTTCCGTCCACTGCTGAGTAGCGTTTGCGAAGCCCCTTTGAGAAACGGGTGGCTCAGTGGGAGGAAAGGCTCCTTACTTTGTTGTGAAGCACCACCACATTGTGGGGGTCGGCGTTGAGCCAGGTGTCCATGGCCTTGCAGATGCTGCAGATCTTGTCCAGGGCTGGAGCGTGGTGGTCAGGCCAACCAAAGTCCAGAACCTGCGAGGAGAACATGAGCTGCAATCAATGCCATGGTACCAGGGTATTCTGGAAAGTTCTGAATGACAAGCAGGGAATGCTGACCTTCGGGTTCAGCTTGTTTATGTCGTATCTCCTCTCGCTGAGGTTGAAGAGCTGCAAACGCAACACACTTGCATCAGCAACATTTCCCAGAGAAGAGCTACAAACCTAATGTTGTGGCCAAACCAGATTACTCACTCCAGAAAAAATACAAAAGGCATGAAGACATAAGTCACGTCAATAATCATCCTCTAAATCAGAGCTTCTAAGATCTTCTTGCAGTATATTCAAGAATTTCCCCAAGCGATCAATAAAGCTTATCTCATCTTATCTTATATTTCACCACCGCTGCTGGTGACTGAAATCATCTCACCAGGTAGTGCTCTCCATGCTTTGATCTCAGCATGGTAGCCACCTCTTTCAGGTTGGCGCTGTAGCTCTGCTCCTCGGCACTGCTGGGGAAGGACACGGAGATGATGCGCTCGGTGATGTAGACCAGGTCCACCTCATAGTTCTCCTCCATAGCCTGGATCAGGCTCAGGCTCCTGTAGAACAGACAAGAGGAGATCACACAAGTCACGTCACCTGGGTGTTGTGCACGCACACACACTTAGAGCCACGTCAATATGGTCCACAATCTTACACTTCTGCACTGCACAACAGCGTTAAATCATTACAGGCTATTTTAGGTTAATGAGCCTCTAAAATTCAGCACTGCACAGGTCATTAAAATGATAATCTTATGGCTGGTTTCCAGAAAAACAAGAGGAAAACTAGTCAGTAGATGAATAAATATAAAAGTGTCTGTTTTAAGGCGACATACAAATTTCTAGCATTCCATTCGGGACTTTTGCTTTTAATAAGCAGGCCAAATGAAACAATGTAAGAGGAATAAGTCAGTTGTGAGACAAACATATCCACTCTGTGAAAATGTATATTTCTAATCACATTTGGCAACATTACTGATCAGTTGGTCAATGAAAAAATATATTTTTGCATAAGGTACAGTATAGGCATATATCCAGATGTCAGATGTGGATTTCTCTCACGGAAAGGCCAATGACTAGAGCTATATTAGTGAAATTATGAATCACAAACAGACAGACAGAGACATCTGAGAAACTCCATTGCTGATCAGATGTTTTCCTGGAAAACATACTGACTCACAAGGTTAAGAATCATCTGCTCCTTGGTACATATTAACTATGGCCCACACATCAAAGCTGAGGGGGTTTGCATTAGCTACAGCAAAGCATGATTACTATTGCAACACCAGATAAAATGATTCAGGAGCTCTGCGACTAAGTCACAGACTGAAGGCCAACAAAGTCAATGTGACCTGCACAAATCACCCAGTCACCCAGTAAGGCAAATGCAGTTCCTTCCATCCATCCACTTGTCTGTCCGTCCGTACATCCATCCATCTATCCATCCAGCCATCATCCATCGATCCATCCATCCAATCAAATCTCAGATGACAGCATAGAAATATCTGTGCAGACTATTTCAGTTTTGAGTCTGCCTTATACAGCATCTCCAGTGTTCAGTTTATAACGTCATAATGAGGGATCAATGACCTCTTCCAGAGCACCAACCACGAATCCCTTCAGTGAACTCCAAGCAAAGAATGTTCTCGCTAATTTTCCCAAGACCCTTACTGCAGCAGCGTTGACTAAGGCAAATCTGGTAAGTCCCCATAAGGACTTGGAGATAAAGCGACCCCCTACATTTGATATAGGTGAATGTGCAGTTGTGTGTTCAGGAAGATAATATATCTATGAAATGCTGAGGTCCTGTTTCCATCTGTCGGTCAGAAAAAAAAAACACACCAAGTCACAGAAAGTGTTAAATTCACAGGATTTACCGTGATGGTCTTCGTCGGGACTCCATTATTTTGGAGGATTTCGTTGAGCCCTGCGATCAAACAGACACAGTTAGGAGGAACCGCAACACAGATCTAATGAAATATAAACTGCCAATATTATCTTCACAGAACGCGAAAAGACATCCACCCAATTCATATTAATGACATACACTTAGTTACACACTAGGCTGTACCGCATAAACCACGTCAAAGGGCCGTTACCAGTATAACAGGCAGATAAAATTATCCATTACGTCCCTTATTCTGTAGGAAGGGCTGGTGCTTATCCCAGGCAGAAGAGGGCACATACAGGGGATACCCATGATGGAATGGCTGTTCATCACAGGACACATACAGGGGATACCCAGGATGGAACGGCTGTTCATCACAGGACACATACAGGGGATACCCAGGATGGAATGGCTGTTCATCACAGGACACATACAGGGGATACCCAGGATGGAATGGCTGTTCATCACAGGACACATACAGGGGATACCCAGGATGGAATGGCTGTTCATCACAGGACACATACAGTCACAGAGTGGGGCATTTCCAGATGCTGATTAACCTGCAGGACTGTGGCGGCAAACCCATGCGACACAGGGAGAGCATGAAAACCCCACCCACGGGATTCAAACCCCAACTCTACTGGTGCGAGGCAACAGTACTGCCCCCACTGTGTCACCCTAAATAAGACTCCAAAATGCAAAGAATGACATGTGACCATAAAATGCAAACGATTAACCTATTATTACATATTAAACTGGTGATGCTAAACAAATAAAGACAATTTTAGGCTAACTACCACAAAGGAAGTTTCATGACAGAGACAATGTGACCACATGAGAAATATTAAATCAGAGATGACAAAGACCTGGGAATTTGGGACGAGCATCCCCATATTGTATCCAGCTGCTAGATTCAGGTTCCCCCAGGGCAACCAACAGATAGGTACCCAGAAGGGCACCTGAACGGGGGTAACCCCATCAGAATGTGTGTTCAGCTGGCCACCACACTAGCTTGTCTACATGGCTGCCTGTCCTGACACTATAAAAGGCTTCCAGTTTGCAGCTCAAGACCAACAAAGGCTCTATTAAAGGGGTTTAAAAAGCCAGCCGCCCGGCATAAAACGCACACAGAAGGCCTCGGTGTTTGCTCTCCGCTCTTAAAATCCTCCTGGAGCACGTGGTCTGCTCTGTAAGACCCTAAGACCTTTGAGAAGGAGCAGGCAGCTTCTGCACGCTGGACACTTGAGCCGGAAGCGATGGTGTGGAGTAAGGACATCATCCTCCATCACTGCATGCTTCTGCTACTCCCTCCACTGCTCCAGTGGTTTCATTAACTGACTCAGATGAAAAAGTGTTATTTGCCATAAGTACAAATACGAAAACAGGTACATTGTGGATTTCTCACATGTTTTCTCATTCATATATATATATCTTTTTTTAAGAAATACACAAAAATGGAGGTGAGAGCGAAGCTTGGGCTCTGACCACAGGGTCACTGTCTATCTAGGCCCCCGCAGCATTTTTCAAGGGGTTAAGGGTCTGGCACCAGGGCCTGACAGAGATGTGGTTAATGTGGTTACTCTGTCAAGTGAGGGATTTGAATATGGTGTCAATATGGCACAAAGGTGAGTCTGAATCAGACCGGCGCGTTCCGAGAAAACAGAAATGAAGAAATATGACGTGCTTGCAGTGGTTCATATCACTTGCAGTTACTTCTAAACTGTCCATTTTTGCCAGCATTCAGCTGGGGAATTTAGCTAGTCTGTGGAAGCGATTAGAATACATTTTATTTCACATTTTATATGAGAGCAACCAACAAAACTGGTGCAGCATTTTATGTGAGGAAGCAGAATATTTGATGAGCTTCAGGCAGATTGTTTTTTTTTGTGAATGAAAGTGAGTTTCTAAGAGCTGGTTTCCTCTTCGTCTTGTGCTGGGGGGGGCGCCTAACTGCTTCCGACTTCCCATTCGGACATCTGGCCTGGACTTTCATTGCACCCTGGATAGAGTCTGGATGCAGCTGTGCATCTTATTCTGTCAGATGCCTGTGGGCCCCTGACACCATGTCATTAGTTTGCTGCTCACACGCCCTTGTCGTGCTCGCGTTCCTGCACATTGTTTTTTTTTTTGGGGGGGTATGGAGACAGTAGTCATTTCTTAAAACCATAATTTCTGAGCAGGGAAATGACAGAGGCGCTCAGAGCCGTAAAAAAAGCTATACTTTGCACACTGAAGGAACACAGATCTAAATTTGTTGTATGGGATAAATACACACAAAGCTGTCGCTTAAACTGAGACTGACTCACGGTCCGACATGAGGCGAAGCAGAACCCGGCCACCTAAGTTTCTCCGTTTCCCACAATCCTCTCCTCCCCTGTGTCTGATGACACGCTCTGCTCATCGCTTCAGGACTTAACCATTACCGTAATTACCCTAAAAGAGACCCTAACCACCCTTACTCACCCCCCCCCCAACAAGGAGGTATCCAAGGGAAACAGAATTCCCAGCGATACTGGTGACCATTATCGAAACCAGCTGTAAACACAGTCGGCCGGTGGGGTCCGGCGAGTCAGTCGTGCAGGGCGGGAGAGGAAAGAGCAGGAGAAGCGGGGAGAGAGGGCCGAAGGATCCGGAACGTTCCTGCCCTACCTTGAAGAGATAGCCCGTACTCCACCTCCAGGCCATCTTCAGGGAGGAGAAGCGCCTGCCCAGGGACTTGCTGGGATTCATGGCGGAGCGCTGCTGTTCTCTAGATCCCGTCCCCACCCGTCACGTCTTTAATCCACCCGGAAAAGTGCTCTATTTCAGGATTAAACCATTAATGGGATGCCACATGTTTGGTGCCGGTCTTCAGCACGCTGCGTTGAAACGCCCTCCTGTTCTCTCCGGATCCTTCTCTCACGCTTTCCGTTCGAGTCTCTCCTCCGCTGCCGCTGCTTCCCGTCTCCGGGCTGCCCTCTCTCTCTCTCCAGCTTTCACAATCTCACTCCCCTTCTTTCCCTGCCCCCCACTTTCTTTACCTCTCTCCTCCTTCTCTCCTACCATTCTTCCCTCTGCCCCCTCCCTCCTCTCTTCCCTCCCTCTTGCACCGATGTCCACATTGTAGTGGGTGTGTCCCTCCCCACCCCGCCCTGTGGTCAATGCCAGGGTCATCTGCTCCGCATCTGACTGCAGGAGAACCTCACTCCTTCCAGTTTAACCCCCTCCCTGCTGCACCGCCCCGGTGGCCTCTCACTCAAAATCTGTTCTGCATTATGGCCATCGTGGGGGGTGGCAGCAACTGGGAAAGGCTGTTTGGGTTCTCCGTGGGAAGAGCTTCTCAGAGACAGCAAGGACCCCTGCAGTCACGGCCCCGAGGAATCCCAGCTCGCGTGGAGCGTTTAAAGCCTCATTAAAAAAAGTTCTGCAGGATTAATACCAGTAAAAGGTCTTCGGATCCCCCTGGGTCTGCTGGACCATTAGTCCACCCCAGAATGCCTGTATAAGTGCTGTGAGGTCACACCCCAGTCAGTCCTGTAGTATCGCTGGCATACAATCTGATTCGCAACCCGACGGAGAGACCATGCTCTCTGACCCACCTCTGACATCACGAAATGAAAAGGCGCCGAGTGCACCATCGTCGTTAGGGATTGGACCGAACGGAGGGCCAGGAGGAGCTCTGATTGGTTGCAGAATAATTTGAGCCAAGGCTGAATGCTGCTAAATGCTAATGCAGAACAGACCTGCAAAGCTAACACAAAAAGAGACTGGAGAGGAATACATGCTTATATGAGGTTTATCAGTGGAAGACACCTCAGTCGGGGCTGAACCTGGCCAGTCCCACCCTACTGCCAACCCAGGGACACAGAGAAAACGTTTCAGGACCCCGGTATTTGTAACAACAATCCAATAGCACAACTTGTTTGCCAAGTCAATACCTCATTGAGTTTTTTAACTAATGAAGTTAATTAAATTTTAAATGGTAAAATTTAACAAATACAGGTAATGGCTGAGGTGCCCCTGAGGAGAGTTTTGGGAACCGGAGAGATGTTCATCTAGCCATACAACAAGATCAGTAATTCTTGGAGAAAAGAAGAAGTTCTTAAGTTTTATTGTGTTAACGTAATTTGCATGTTCTAATGCTAAATTAATTTGCATATGTTCTAATTGTCTTCTCAGATAAACAACTATTTTCTTTCACTGCCTAAGACTTTTGCAGAGTACTGTACATAGCAAAAATTAATGTGTGAATCAATGATCGAGGCCCTAAATACAATGTGGTGTATGCGTATTTTGCACAGTACTGCATGAACTGTAATAAATACTCAGAAAGAAAGAAATGTCAATTAAATATTTAATGCACCGTTTGGCATTTCTCTGAAAATTTAAATTGGAAAAGATTTGCTTCCTCTCCCATTTGTCTCTCAGACCTCGTCACACCACCAAAACTATTGCACAGAAATGCATATGAAATTTCAGCATGGCTTACAATATAATTGTATTGCATGATCTGTTTTTTGCAGCTAAAAGCATTCAAATGATGAATTTTTGTTTTTTTTCTACCAGTCACACAAGGACCAAAACAGACGCACCAACAAAGAAACTGATTCGCGAAAATACTGGTATAATCATTTATAGGACACTTATAAATGGGCTTGTCTCTGATGCTGCTTGCATGAGCTGCTGCACGGCCTCGCGAGCAGCAGCTGAACATTTTACACACGTCACGTCAATGTACACAAACGGACACGTGACACGGGGGGTTGTGCTGTGCTTTATTTGGTTTGGAACAGGAAGTGTCGTATTACAGAGTGGGGTGGGGGGCATGTCTCAAAGGCGGGAGGGGGGCCGGATTTTAGAAGAATGTAAGAAACTACGCACAATCGTATGTGTTTGTCGGGACAGGGGAATGATTTTCACATGTAGATTAACTGTTTGTTTAAGCATGCATGCAAGCATATGCAAGTCAATTAGAAGCATAAATCTGTGATGCATTATTTGCTTTCACTGCCTCACTAACTGCAGCCTCTTCTTAATGCCCCCCCCCCCCCCACGCCAGCTAGCATTGTTCTACCATTTTTCAACCCAGATGGGTCTTTCTCTCTGAATCAGGGGGCTGAGGATTCGATGATGACCGGGGAATTCCGGTCTGAAAATTATTCGGATCAACGGCGCGACATCCACAAGGTTAGTCACACGCAGCTGTGACAGGGCAAGTCGGGTGGGTCAGGGTATGGCAATTATACAGCGCTCAGCCACACTTGGACTATGTCACGGTGTCTGTCCTGGAGAAGCTCAGAAGCGGTATGGCATTCATACTGTGCCTGGCCTTTTAATTAATCATTCCTCCAGCAGAAACGGCAAACCGAACAATACTACGAATGCACTTTTAACGGCAGGAAAAATTGCACAGGCAGTGGTAACAACCTCGTTAAATTTTCTTGTTGACATTTAAAAGTATTGCTATTGGCCGCTCAGTAGAATGGATCCGAAAATGTGTTAAATGGATCAGGGGCGAGTGCGATTCTCAAGCCCATTCTCAAGGGGGGGGGGGGGCAGAAATTTCCAAACACACAGAGATATTTTCCTTCTCAATTTGTTCACTTTTTATTATGAATCAAACTTGGCCAGATTCCTCGAAGGCAGTGGCTATGTTGTGAACCAGCACACGCCTCCACCAAACTAAACACTCTCTTTACACAAGTTTGCTCATACATCATGCTGATAAAGCGTCTTTACAGACAGCCAGTGCTAATTGGGGGGAGGTGCACCTTTCACTGCTCGGGTGGCCACCTCTGTGGTCCGTGAAGTTCCCAAAGGATCAGTGGTGTAGCAACCAGAAAATCTGGCTGAATTAAGTTTTCCCTTCCCAATCCATCCATCCATCCATACATCCATCCATCCTTCCTCTAGCCTCTACCCAATACAGCGGCATTTCTGAACCCAGTCCTCAGGGATCCCCCAAACAGTCCACATTTTTGCTCCCTTCCAGTTGCTGGGAGTTGGCAGGGAGCAAACTGGGGGCCCATGTGGACTGCAGTGAGAAGAACAAACTGGGGGCCCATATGGACTGCAGTGAGAAGAACAAACTGGGGTCCATGTGGACTGCAGTGAGAAGAACAAACTGGGGGTCCATGTGGACTGCAGTGAGAAGAACAAACGGGGGGTCCATGTGGACTGCAGTGAGAAGAACAAACTGGGGTCCATGTGGACTGCAGTGAGAAGAAAGACTGCCGAGGCCCTGGATGCTCATCCAAGCAGCACAAAGCAGAGTCCAAAGGTGGATCAGCATCTCGAAATTTCTCTTGGTATATAACTGCGGCTTTGTGTATGTGCCTTAGTGACGGACTTGGGTTCCATCCAGGGTCTCCCCAGGGGACTGATGTCAACCCCGAGACGTGAGTCCAGAGGGGGGCGAATGTTTCTGTGTAGTTACGTATTAAAAAAGAGCAGCTTCAACTTACCGGGGTTTCTACATGTTTCAGCGGGAGATCGTTGCTGGGAGGCTGAAGAGAGGAAAAAGGAGGAGAGAAGAATGAGTAGCCGGTACAAACGCCATGAAGACCCTCATGAGCTCCCTGCAGGAAGCCTCCCATCTGAGACTGCATCCACCCGGCTCCCCAAACGTATCATAGGAATCCCATTACTGACTTGGCACCTTGGTAACTCCGGAAGATGATTTTTGAGTTAGGAGTATGACTCTTCAAGTAGCTCGAGGGTTAGAGAGCATAGCTCAATGTTAATCAATCAAGCAATCAGTCATCGAGTCAGACACATTTCATTCCAAGAAAAATACTGCGGTCACGTGGATTACATCAAACCAGCAGTAAAAGCCAATGCTGTCTTTAAAGGAGAGCTAAGCGATGAAGACAGCAGTGTGGATTATGGTTAGGCTTCCAAACCAAACCAAACCAAACCAAACCAAACCAATATCTCAGCAACCCTACAAAACAGATCTCATGAACCCTAAATTACTTAGAAATATGTACAAATTTGAGGCTGAAAGGTAAAGGTCCACTCTTGTGTGTTTGTTGGAATGTGAACAGAAGAATGAGACGTCAAATTAAGTTGGCAAAGTATTCAGTGGAATGTCCCTTTGGTACAGAGAGGTAGACAAAGCCAGGCATGGGACCATCGGGGTGAGCAAGCCTGGGTTCTGCATAAACACTAACAAACCTGCAGTATAAATATTTATCAGGGGTGACAGAGAGACATTTTTTCTCCATTAGTCAAGAAGCAAAAGTCAGGAGACCATATAGAGCAAGGAAACATCCAGCACAAACCGTCCACAGATGTTCTGTCTCTCTTCAGGGTGTCTTTTTTTAAAAGGCATTTATTTATAACGAGTCAGTCAGTGGGACCGATGATGTCATATGCCAGAACTGATCTGGAAACCCTCAGCATGTTTCTACTATGGTAAAATAGGCCCCATGTCAGAAGCGTGGGGGACACGGAGTCCTTAATATGAAATTACACTAAAAACAGAGAAATTACATTTAGGGGATATTACCAAAAAACAAGGCGAATGTGCATTTGGTGGAAGGAAATCCTTCATTATTTTACCTAAGTGCCCTATAAAACATTCCCTGTCCTTCGGATGGATGCTTGGTTATCATAGTGGATGATGCAAGTTAAATTTTCCCTTTGTCCACAAGTCACCATGGGCTTTGCAATTTTCAAAAATAAACAAACAAATAAACAAATCTCCAATCATTTTTCTTAACTAGAAAGAAAAATAAGGGCCAATCAGTAAGACAGCAATAGCAGGTTTCTATGAACTTCCTGGAACACAATAACTCTGGAAGGAAATTATAGGCTGTCAAGGGGGCGGCGGGTCCAGAACACAGCCTGCCATAGCTGAGGCGACCAACCAACAGCGCAGCATCCGTCCCGTGATTGGCAGCTGGGACTGATCAGTCATAGCTATTATGGTGAGTCATCGCATCTCTGCAAATTATTGAATTATCTGTGCGTCGCTACAGAAGGAAAAAAAAAAGGTCTTTGGCCTGGTTTTTGAGGCGTGGGGGGGGGCGGGGGGCATGGAATCCAACATCCTGCAGCAGCCAAAACAGCAACGATAACCACGGAGTGAACACTGCTTACCGTCATCCTGCCAGATGGCCAACAGTCTCAAGTGTTCAATGCCTAGGGTACTGATATTTTTGAGAGTGGGATTACCATGAATGAAGTACTGAACTGTGGAGCTTTGACCTCTGATTTGTTGGCCTGGCATTTATTTGGCACCCACATATAACTGCACTTTGAGAAGGCTATCTGGACCAGACTCCAGTCTGAAGCCGTAGGAAGACCACAGTGTTAACTCACATATACGGCAATGGTTCCAGCCAGGCCTGTCGTCAGTGTCATTGATCTGAGCTGACATTAAGGTCTTCAGCTGCCTTAAGACTGTACTCATGTCTCTATTTACCTCAGCATTAAGGCCCTGGCTTGGTATCACACAGAGACAGCAGAGATTAATGTTAACAGAGCAGAATTAAGCATAAGAACAGAGCCAGTCTATTTGTAAATGCTTCCTAATCCCTGCAGCTTCTGCCCGCGGCACCGTTTCAGCTTCAGAAGCTCGGCAGGGACTCTGGGAAGGCAGTGAGCCCAGAGATGATCTAAGCTTCTCCCCACGTTGGATCTGGTGCCATCGGGGCAGACAGAGAGGTGCAGCTTACGGCATCTGGGCAGTAAAGGGGGTCGGGACTGTTGTCGTAGAGAAAAAGTCACGTGAGGACTGGGCGAGGACCTGCAGTGCTTTAAGCACACGCCGCAGGAAGTGTAAAGGAAAAGCTACAGCTTCTCTTTTAGTGAAGACTCACTTGTTGGCAGGGCTCCCCCAGCATGAGAATGAGATAAAAAAAATAGGGAGATTCTCATCTTCAGTCATGAGAGCAAAGTTTCACAAAGCCAAAGCAGCGATGTTTACGGCCCAATTATTCTGATCAGAGGGAACATTGCTGTCCACGTGACACCAAGATGACCTCCTCCAGGAGCTCATCAGGGCTGAGGGGAGAAACAGCCGACCAAGAGAACTACCATTTCAGATCAGCTCCGGCCCGTCTTTGGTACCAAGGCCTGTTTGCTCCATTCGCAACACCCCAGTGTTGTGCAATATGCCTTCTGAAGAGTCCGCTTGGACCAGCACCCGACGGTGCTGCTTGGCTGCCTCAGAGAGGCGCTCTGACTTGGCTAGTATTCTTACTGGGGTTCAACACCATAATGTTGGTGTTGAGCCCCAGTTGACTTATCATCAGTTCATAACTGAGATCATTAGTGGCATATTTGTACTTTGGAAAAAATAATAAAGATAAAAAATATATAAGTAGACAACATGAGATCTCGCTCGGAGTGGGTGTGTTCCCCTGGGTGCTCAGGTTTCTTCCCAGAATCCAAAAACAAGCCGCTGCTAGATAAATTGATGTTCCTAAGTCTTCCATTGTGTGTGTCCGGGAATGTGTTTGCGTGCCCTGTGACGGACTGGCATCCCACCCAGGGCGTGCCTGTTCTGTACTGCCTGGGATAGGCTCCCGGTCCTCCGTGACCCTTTACTGGCTAAGCACTTGGTAGACAGATGGAAAATATTATGAAATCTGAAACAGGGACTGCAAGTGTTTTCTAAATGCAGAGAATTGCGACAATAATTGGTTCTTTAAACCTTATTTAAATACTTAAAATCATTTACATTTGTTTTCGTCATTTTACAATACAAAAGGTATAGTGTTAATATTTGACGTAAATTCTGTTGGGTTATCCTCTGCTGTCTAGGCTCTGTAGAGAATACCGCTGAACAACAAGTCAGCATAGCAGAGGAAACTAAGAGGAACCAGGAACTGCGAGCAGCTGCACTGCACTGCCTCCTGCAGGTGAAGTGGGGAACTGCATGGGGGAAAAAAACAATTGCATTGCCCAGGGCTACCACAATCAGCTATCGGCTCTTTATACTCATTGATCTGACAGCAGGAATAAATGGCATGATGTCAGGAGCCCAAAAATTCCTCATACAGGATTTATTTCATTATGTACTCAAAGAAAACAGTTTAGCTAGATTATCAGGTTTACTTGGGAGTTTTGTTACCACTAGCGAGCAAGTGAGCATACTGGTGTGTGTGAGTGTTTGGGAGAGGCAGCATACTGGTATGTACTGCGGGTACATGAAAGCCCACCAGCTGGCAGCGAGCACCTGAGCTTCCTGTCAGAATCGTCCACGTTCAGCGCCTAAAAAGGAATGGTATTCCATGCAGTCGCTTGGCCACGCCGCTAGCCTGATTTATTACGGAACCGGCAATGGCCAGGCCGGTTTTCGAAAACAGGACAATGTATAAACACACCAGGCTCCCGTTACCGAGACGGCACAGAGCAGAGGCGCTGGCTGTCTGGTACGAGCTGCTTAGTGCGTCTCAGAGGCGTTCGACGTCCACGTCTTTGGGTCAATATTTACGTTAGAGCGACGTCGCATTTATCGAGGCCTGGAAGAGCGTCAGGCCAGGCTCTCCAGAGGAACGGCTGATGTGGGGACCTCCTCTATGGGTGAACTCCGCCCCCCCCCAGCCAGTTCTCACGGCAGGGCCACAGGATGTCACACGGGAGAGTAGCGACCCTTTGAACGGGGCCCTTTCCAACCCACTGTTACATAACCACCGAACCCCAGGATGGGACTGAGTCCCATGAGTGCTCGTGCAAACATAAACACACAGACGCTGAGACACTGGATGATTCCGCTGACATCCTCACCTCCCCACGCTCTCTGGTATGCGCTTTTATACTTCCTGCGTACGAAGACTAACATAAAACCAAACTAGATCAGCTGGCTGGATACAAAAAAAGTGCCATTTATACATTGAGATAAAAATTTCACTACAGAGTGCACAAATATTTTCCTCAAATGATTTGTTTTTTCTGTAAACCATGTTACTACCAAAGTTCTACTTATTTTTGCTTCAGGGGCCATATCAAGTAAATGGGAAAAAAGAGTAAACATTTGTTCCGTAAGAATTCCATAACTCCCCAGAGCCTCGTTCTTTCCCACATACTCCTGGAGAGACAAGCAGGTCATGTAAGAACAGATAATATGTTATGGAAGTAGCCTATTACAAAAGAAAAAATCTATTTCCAACTGCGTTTTCCTCAGGATAAACAGCCAGTAGGGTTATTTTTTAAGATGGTAGATTTTGCATATTGTTCACATGCATGCGCATGGTTGTGAGATTGAAATCTCACACCGTAATGGAATTCTTGGCCCTAACTTATATACAGAATACAATAAGCAAATTGCCCAACTATGTGATGCTATAAACAGTTTCCTAATTGAGGCAGCCTTGCCCATCTTGATACTGCAGTTAGAGTCATTATGCAGTGATGGGTCTGGCTTGAGTCCCTCACGCGTTTTTCTACGGTATGACGTAAGTGCCTGGACTCTCACTGCAGGTATGGGCAGATATAACAAGGAGAAAGTGAGAGAGGAGCAAAGCAGCTCATCTTCTCAGAACCTGACCTACTGCAAACTGCCGCTAACACGGCTCTGCCCAACGTGCTCGGGGCCAACATGAGATTGAAATGGCCCCGTTGGTGTTGTTTTCCCAGAAGGTCCCGCTCCCTGGGTTCCCGAGCCAGCCCAAGGTCAAGTCACCCTCAGAACGTCCTCGACAAGAAGCCGGCATTTCGCTGGCCTAGAGCTTGTCATCTGAATACCGAGAATAACCACCCAGCTTCTGGTTAGGGGAGATTCTAAGATGCTGTTTAAGTGAGGGGGTCATAATTCATACAGTTAGGCCAACCAATAGTACGTTTTGAATCGGTAAGTGACAGGGGAGGCGGCACTCCGGGGGCCAATTAGCTTTCAGCTAGGGCCAGTGCCCCTGTGGGACCCTCCCCTCTACACACCCCTGCTTCTGGCCTCTCAAATCCCAAAGCAGATTCGACTTCTGTTGAAGCAAAGGAGGTCTGCAGTCACGGAGAGCCTAGCAAGCTCTGTAGAACATCAGACCCCGTACAGGCCGGCAGAGTAAACACGGGAATTAAGGACCCCGCTTATTTCTTACAGGGTTAAAGAAGGGAAGGGAAACAGCAGAGGGCTGCGAGGTGCTCAGGGCTTGGCGGCTCCACAATGATGCCCCTGTGTGTAACGTTTGTTTATTAACTTTCTCCTTCCCAGAGTTTTGCCCTAATCCATCATGAATAGCTTGTTATAAACCCATGGTGCTAAAAACCCCTCCGTTCATCCATCCATCCATCCATCTTCCAAGAGAGGGAGTCCGGAGCCTATCCCAGGATGCATTGGGCGCGAGGCTGGGCCACACCCTGGACAGGATGCCAGTCTATCACCAAGCACACAATGGGCAATTTAGAGATGACGATTAGCCTAATTGGGCATCTTTCCTGAGGGAGGAAGCCGGAGAGGGAGACCATGCAAACGAGCAGAATGAAGGCGAGATTCAATCCCTAACCCTGGAGGTGAGGGAACAGAGCTGCCCACTAAGTTACCATGACAGTCCAGCGTCTAAAACCCTCCATGTATAATTCTGAGAAATTATCCAGAAATAAGCTTTCATTAGATATCGTTAAAGAGGTGGGGCTCCTGTCACGCCATCTTTCACACAGATGTTTATTCAGGTTCTGGACATAAAAGAAAATCCTCACTCTCAGACCAACACATGCAAGCATACTGCCCAAACACAACCCCCCCCCCACCCCCCTAATGCAACACCGTGTGATTTACAAGCGTAATTTACAGCACGCATTCCCTGAATCCCGACCTGCTCCAGGCGGCGTAAATCACAGGCTCCTCCCACAGCCCAAGAGCCGGCGAATTCACCCAAAGTGTGGAGGCCCGACCAGCTCTACAATCCCCAGGCCTTAATTACCACCCTCCTCCTCAAGCACAAACAGCATACCTATGAATATGATTAGGACCTTGAACCAGTTTTCAATAAACTGCATATGCCCACAGCCTCATGCTTTCCATTCAGCCTGATTAACTGCCCGTAGTGACATGGGGGGTGGCGGTTTACAGTCGGTACATTATTGCTGCAGGACGGAATCCCAGAGACCTTTGATGGGCGAGGCGGGGAGGAATGCGGATGCATTAGTGGAAAAGACATTCAGGATGCTGCAGCGAGCTGGTAATCCATCACCCTAACAGGCCGAACCTGAAATACCCCAAAAGCAGCTCAGTCCCCCAACCCGGTCCTCATGGTCCCACAGACGGTCCACGTCTTCGCTCCATCCCGGGTCCTTGCTAGACGGCCCACATTTCTGAGCAAAAACGCAGACTGTCTGCGAGGACCTGAGGACCGCACTGGGAGACACTGCTTAGGAGTCATCGCTCAGACACTCCCAGACTGAGGAGAAGCAAACAGCATGCATGGAATATCAAGCAAATACTACGTTTTTAAAACATTTTTAAATACTTTAATTACATGCATTAATTTCAGAGCAAATTTCCAAAACTCGCTAAGTGCGTTTTTTTTTGTTCTTTCTCAGGTGAGATCGCTGATGACCTAAAGTCAGGCTCCCTCATTATATGGTATAGTATCGGGAACCAAAACTCAGTCAGTCCTCATGTAATCTAATGAAGAAGCATCAGTGAATTTCCAAAACTCACTAAGTACACAGAAACTTTCGTGAAAACATATCCCGTGGACTGAGTGAGCTTTGGAAACCTTCTCTTCAGGTGGCTTGTGCACGTAGATGTTATAAAATTTATGAATGCATCACTGAATATAATTCAACTCTACACACTTCACCAGCTCCACAGTTACAAAAAAATTCTGGAACTTCCACATTTTCTCCAATTTACAGTTTATAAAATAACATAGGAGTATGTTTTATAGCTGAGCTCGTCAGTTTAAGTGGGAAATCACCAGTAATCTGCTTGATTAGAATCTCTTTAGACCCCTCTTCTGGAACGCGGTGGGATGTGCCTGCCCTGGAGGATATCTGACCAAAAATATTTCACCAAACCCCCACCCCCCCACCATCACAGCCTGGTTAGGAATATTGGCAGCCAACTACCAGAAAGCAGAAAGCACATTTATAAAGAACAAGAACTCTATAAAGGTAACTGTTCAAAATAATAATCTCTGTAGCAGAAAAAAACAAAGCAAATTCCCAGAATACACTTCTCAAAGATAACCTTTTATAGTCAATCCAGTGCATCGACAGCTAAAACCAAAAAAGACATGAATGCCTCAGTTTCCCATTGGGCATTTTCAGTGCATTGGGACTGGGCAAGTTCAGTTTCCCAGGCAAGTTCTTTCTGTGACCCTTGTAAAACCTCTCTCAACAGCTCAACGCCGAAGGCCGTCTGCAAACAGAATGCCTGCATATAAGCCAGGGTCCCCCAGTTCTGGTCTTTGAGGGCCAGAATCCAACACAGTTTGTAAATTTCCCAGCTCAAACGATCTTAATCAGCTATTTACCAGGTTTAGTACTGTAGTTGTGTTTGAGCAGGGAAATCTACAGTACAAACTGTGCTGGATTCTAGCCCTCCAGGACCGGAAACCTGATATAAACACTGCATTTCCCAAGATCCTTCTAATGAAATGATGGACGTAATCTGCATCAAGACCAGTGCGCACTCGTAAGTTTCTCTTCCAAAAAAAGAATTTTTGCTCAAAAACAATAATGATAGGGTTCACAAGAAATATTCAATCTGTTTGTAGTTTAGGAGGACAGGATACCCTAGAGGTACATTGATGGGGGAATTACAGACTCACCAGCTCATAGTTAGCAGTTGGAACACAGGATGCAGAAACCTGCAAAACAGGAGAACATCACGCTCACATATGGACTAGAATAAGAAAAATAACTTTCACATAAGAACATTACAACAACTCAGTGCACTGCTGCATACAAGTACAGAATATAGAAGGAGGAGATACAGGTCAATTCAAGCAGCACTATGTTATGCTGGTCATGTGACCTGCTTCATTAGCCTGGACAGCAGTGAACGAGCTGAACGCTGTTGATGTGGCCACCACTACAAGTCAGTGTGAGATGTACAGGGATGTAACACTCAGTGGCCACATTATCAGTTACATCTACAGTATCCAGTATTAGGAAGGAGCCATAACTGCTTATAGAGTTGATAAGCTGTGCATTCAGAGAAGCCTTTCTGCACATTACTGCTGTATTGAGCTGTTATTTTTACATATATTATATTTGCGACCTTCCTGTTAGCTTTACCAAATCTGGCCATTCACCGCTGACCTCACTCACTCACAAGGTGTTTTTATCCGCAGAAGGAGCGGCTGTCTCTGAGATATTGGAACCACCATATATGGCATCAACAATCACACTGCATTTACAATCAACTAGATCGCACATCTTGTAGCAGGAGTACAGGTATATGCAGCGGCAGGGCTACAAGGGCTGCGGCCCTAGCTGAAAGCTGATTGGCCCCTGGAGTGCCCCCTCCTCTGTCACTCGTCGATTCAAAGCATATCATTAGCTAATGATAAGGTTGTCCCCTCTGTATGAACAAAATCCCAGAACCACCCCTGACAGTAAGTGAACCTCCTGACCCTGTCTGTATGCTGTATGTTTTCAGTTACAGCCACGTGATTGGCTGTTTGGTGGAGCGGGTTGTTATTAGCGATTATGTACAGCTAATGGAGAGGCTGCGGAGTGTAAATTCACTGAAAATACAGATCATCGGACCAAAGTGATAATAAAATTACTGCCACCAGTAAGTCATGCCAATAAATGTCTGTGTTGTAGCAGGAGAGACGAAGGTGGCTAATGCTGACAAAACGGCCAGTCTGCTTTACGTCATTATTCACCAAAATCTGGAATAATAGGATTAAATACCGGCTGCTGTGGAAACCCCGTAATTCTGAGGTAACTGCGACGGGCTGCAGTGAATAACAGCATGATAATGTCCCGAATCAATGCGTTAAGACGGATTGTTTGGTGGAAATCCGGAGACAGCTTCTGCACAAATTGAAATGAATGCACTGCACACACACACACAGACGAGCACACGGATGCACGCGCACACACAGACGAGCACACGGATGCGCGCGCACACACAGACGAGCACACGGATGCGCGCGCACACACACACACGGATAATCACAGGTTATCTCATCATTTCCACTTGATCATCAGCACAACAAATCATCTCATTCATTTCGTAGATCTTCAAGACATGGATCAAAAAAATAAATAATTACAACGCTCCAAACATTTAAACCAGAACAAGGTTTATACTAAATTTAAAGCTCAATATCTGTCTTCATGAGGGATAATAATTCTTAAAAGTTGTAGGAGGGAGTGCCGTGCTGTCCGTCGTTTTCAGCACTGACACGGTACAGACGGCTTATCGCTAACATTGACCTCTGTCTGTTCCCTGTTAAGCTCATACAACACTATGACTAATTGCCTGTCTGTGAGTGAGCAGGAGAGGCCTGGATGCTCGCATCTGTTTTGAGTTAACGTCTCTGCGTAATTGATAGTTATTGACTTCCAATGCCCTGCCTCCTTTAAGCAGCTTGGCAGCATAAACCGGAATGTATAATCACTTTGCGCTCTCTCTCTCTCTCGCTCTCCATCATCGCTGAAATTATATTTGGAGGCTTCGCTTGTTATCTAGAAAGGTCTCAGCCTCGTCTCTGCTGGTTGGTTCCTGCCTGCATTTTCCTGACGATATATGTCAACAGGATGCTGTCTGGCACGCCAGTCATCACAGAGAATATTTAGAACATGACTAATAAAAATATGATCTCATTTTAACTGCACCCCATAACAGGATGCGAGATCAATCGCATGAACAAGCTAGATCATAATTAACAAATCCAAACTTTCATATGCAATTTTACCTCTGTATAAAACAATAATGATTGAATCTCATATCTACCAACTGTATGAAACTACTGTATAAGATGCAGAAGCTAGTTCAGCTCGTAAGATGGATTTCTGTTGATATCTGAAGGATGAACGGATCTCCAAGGTCATTATCTACAGCCATCCTCTTAAATACCCCCCTTCCTCTCTTCTTTGAGCACTCTCCGCGTGCTGGCCCCCCCTCTACCCCCACCACGCCATCACCCCCGTAACTGCACCCCTGCACCCCCACAATGACCTGCTAATCCGCCCTTCCTCGCTGCCTGGGTCTGCTCTATCTCAGGGCAGGATTCCATCCACTGACCCTGCCTCTTTCCAGGTTGGGGTGATGACAGTTTCCCCCACCTGCAATCAATAATCATTCCATCCGTGCTTTTCTTCCTTCTCTGGCTCCCCCTGTTTTCTCCACCGTGGCTCCCCTTTCCCCCGGACAGCAGGAATGTCCTGCCCTGACAAGCCTGGGCTAAAGGTCTTTCTAATCAAGGAAAAAGGAGGGTTTTCCAAGTTTTATGCAGCAGGGAGCCGGCGAATGAGCTGTGGAGGCAAACGATCCAGGTTAAGCCCGTGATAAACAGGGGGATCAAAGAGAGAAAAACACATCAATCGATAACAGAGTCAAGCGAAACTGACAACAGGGGAAGGCGTCTGAGTCTTGTTCCAATCATTGATTTCCTTTCCGGTCGGAGTTATATCTGCTTGCTATGCTGGTTAATACAAAAAACACTTTGGGGGACCTATGGGTGACATGCAGGACCGCAGGCTGTTGAAGACAGCATGAGTCACCACCCAGCCTCTTGGCAATGGACCAGAAACTCTTAGCTCACGGTGCAGGGTGGGAAAGCTCTCCGAACAGCCATAAAGGTGGAGAGCAGAAGCGAGATCGGCCCTGATAAAGCGTGAGCCATTGTGAAACGTTAACAGATTCCACGCGTTATTAACGACAACGATGGCGCTTTCCAGGAAAACTCCCCCGGCCGTGGAACTCTTCATGCTGCACAGAAGTGACGGGCAAAGCCGCACGGATAACATTTAACCTAATAATCCGGGAAACGTGAAATCCTTCGGAATCCCCCCGCAAAGCCCAATGGGACGCTGAATGGCAGAGACCCGGGAATTGTTATGGGAACGACAGGCCTGAGAGTATAGCTGGGATTCTGCCCGGGTGCAGGTGACCATTACGCCGGAGCCTCAGCTTATTTCAACGGGGGTGTCCAGCCGGTACCCAGCTGCTCGAACCCGAGGTCCTCCCGGTCCAGGGTAGGACAGGCGAAAGCAGGTAAAAGGGCTACCCATAGGCCCAGGCCATGGGGAGCAGGTGAGAGTGTAGCTGCGAGGGGGCGGGGCTGTGGGGGTGGGGGCGTGGCCTCCCGCATGGCGCTCCTGACGGCCGCTTTTCTCCACATGACCTGAGTTGGGCCTCCACGGCCCCCTAAGCAGCAAAGGCTCCTTCATGTAGCGCCAGGACCCGAGGCTCAGGGCCGACTCGCAGATTTATCGCTATTATGAGTACGCAGCCTGAGGCCCGTCAGCCTCCCCATCGGCTCACATGAATTTATCTTCATCCCCCCCCCCCACCCACACATATTTTTATCCCAGTCTCTCTTTTGTACATTTTTGCCTTCCAAGCCTCGGTAATTTCGTTACACAATCATTCACTTTAGACACGCCGATCAATGGCACCGATGGCTTTACTTTTTTTTTTTGTTTTGCTTGTTTTGCTTTTTCAATGTGTTTAGGCCGTCCCATGCAGGCTGTACCCCAGTCCTGTGCCCCACGGTACCTGGGATAGGTTCCAGCAACACCCCCCACTCCACCCACCCTGACCCTGCTCAGGATAATCGGCTAGAAGATGGATGGATGTGTTTGCACTGCCATTTAGTAGCTGCAGAGACGTCAGCCACGACGGGGAGGAAAAACGTGATGAAAAACATTAAAAGACGGGGCTGCAGACGATGAGATCTGCGCCGGACTGGCGTGCGAGTCAGCGGACGGGTGCGCCGTACCGCTGACGGCGCTCTGAGCGAAGGCAACATAATTAAGACTAATTGTGTTTTCGCATGCATTCCACAGATGTTTGCATTAACGACCTTAAACAGTGATCCATTACAGTTGAACAACAGGCCGTGTCAGTGGGGAATGTGGACTGGCCAGCCACTGTGATCGATTTTTTTTGAAAGCCCTTAGTGATGAAGCGAAACAATTATTAAATATAAATTAAACTACTGAAATAACAACTACAAAATCACGTATTAGCGGCGTAAGGGATGCACATCGCAGGAAAAGTTTCCGTTTTTACGCTGGCTGGGACAGTAAACTGCACCGGGATTTTAGAAATTAGCTAAACTACAGTGACGTCAGTTCCATGGAATGGCCACTGGGACACATAAAGATCGCCATGTACTGTGGGTCTGTACAGATTATTTTTTTAAAAGGTTATTTGGTTTAACAGTCAGATTTGCAGCGTAAAAACGTGAGCATTTCCAGGGGTTCCAGCGCTTGGGGGCACCCCAGTTTATGGGAATCCAGGCTGAAGCAAGACCTGACAACTGGGAACAGATTTGGCGCCGGTGATGTCGACGAGGGGAAGGGAACGCTGTCCCGTGGCCAAACACACGCCGGTCACCTGAGCACAGTGCTGGGAAGGGCTGGGTGTGAGCAGACAACGTTCAGGTGCTCCAGATACCTGCCTAGCAAACGTCCGTCATCGAAGCCTGCCTGACTGACACCTCTTAATCTTGGGTTTCTTCTCCTTCCAAGATCGGCATGGTAACTGACCCCCCCTCCCCCCCTGCCTGGTTCATGTGTGGCTGGAGCATCGGGGTTGAGGGAGAAGTTCTTCCATAAAAGGCCCTGGAGCCACAGAGGCACAGAGCTGCTCCCGGCACCCCCCACCCCATCCCCCCGCCCCCAA